ATCAAGAACAATTTTGAAGGAAAGATGTATGACAAAGTGGAAATGTTTTCATGTGATGCGTTTTGTCCTGCAGGACTTCATTGATCTAATTTCTATAATCATATAGTAAATGACAAGTATTCATATTCTTATTAAGAATCACTTTGTGTCTGAATAATGTAGATTTTGTTAAAATAAAACTCTTTTTCTGATGACTCTAATGCAATAACCATTATGGACAGTTTCTAAACCCCATAAAAGAAAAAATGAAAGAACACTAGAAAACTTGAATAAAAACCTCATAAAATTTTCCTTGCTCATCACATTCAACAAGATGTGCATCTGCCTAGGCATGTGTGAAACCAGATTTTACTATGTTACTTGTTATTTCTTGAATTATTTATTAAAACTGAATTCCCTTACCAAACTGGAAATGTTCCATCTGGATTCTTAAGGAAGACATTTTCTCTAAGAATTTCATAGACACTCATTCGGCATCCTGTATAGACTGTAGAAAGAACAAGATAATAGAATATAAAAAAGCTGATAAAGAACTGTTCATTTATTTAAAGATATATGTGTGTGTGTGTGTGTGTGTTGTTATTTCTTATTTTCCACACACACATACACTAATAAAATTAATTCACACCACGTGTATCAAAAAATACAATTCTTGGAAATTCATTCCTTACCATGCCTGTGGGGTCAAAAAAACAAGGATGGCGACTCAAAAAAGTTCGGACGTAGTGAAAAGCACACCACGTGGTCAAAAATAGGATTTATTGACCAATCAGGACTCGACATAAGAAACCCATTTCTTAATCTCCCGAACCTCATCATTCTTATATAAGGAAGGTAGAAACTCTCATCAGAACGGGAGAGAACAGCGACAAGCTGACATCAAAGCGACACGGACAGTTTCGAGCACACACACACACCGAGAGAATTCAGCGGTTCACACAACAGGCAGTATCACGTATCAGTGAACATTCTTTCACCCTCTCTTTCTCTCATCTATTTCGCTACACATAGTCCTACCTTTCCCTCTCACATTCCCAGTTCCTTTCTTTCTCTTTTTCTTCCGCAGCTTTACGGACAATTTCATTTTTGTACAAGGAAAAAAATAATTCTTTACAAAAATAAACAAAAGTTTATTTTACTTTATTTGTAGTGTATTTTCTTTTTATTATTTGTTTGAGGGACTTCTTTGTACCCTCTACAGTGTGTGCATGTGCATGTGTGCTGAGAAACAAAAAAATTGTTAGAAATAAAGAAAAGTCTGGATTGCTATGTGGAATTCATACAGAAATTTAACTTTATTTATCACTATTAATGTGCCATATCTTGATATCGAGCACTATTATTACAAAGATTGTCTTAAAAATGTTACCTTCCAGCAATACCCTGGTCAACAGACTTTTGACAAAATATAACCTTTGCTATTGTTTAATTCACATGTAAGTGCATCATAAAATACATAACCTAATCATGCAAAAAAAATAATTATCTTTATATCAAAATCTCTTTGGTGAACTTCACCCTTCTGCATATATATATGTGTGTGTGTGTGTGTATTTACCTCCTGTGTATGGAAAGACAATTTCATCATACAAACCAAATGTACATTTTCAAAGGTCTTTGAACAAATCACAATTATTTTAAAGAATTTGACATTTACAATTAAATTAAAAATAAATGTCACGTGTTTTCAATTAAAAATGGTTTTAGTGTGTCAACAGAAAAAAATCATAGAAAGAAGTGTACACAAACTTACCAATATGTCTAATAATGGCTGGTGTCACTCCTTGCCAAAGTTTCTGAACACCTTCTTCCTTAACTAAAGGAAACAAAAAATATGATAAAGTTATCCTGATGACGAGTTAAAAAACATGGTCAAGGCAACACAAAAGTTTCTTTACTGCAATACCATTCTATAAATACCTCTATATTTCAGCTCAAACACATGTACATTTTTTTTTCTATTGAGTAGGTTTATAAAAATTTTATTTTTATTATTCAAAATATGTTAGAATTGTAAATGTATAACCGTTGTTTTATTTTAATACACATTTTTTGAGAGAAGTGTATTTTTCTGAAGGCCAAACAGTTTGTGTGAAAATTGTTGCATTTTTTTATGGCCTTAGCAGATCAAATGGATGATTCCACAAAAATTATTTGTTGAATTTTTATGGATCCATTTTTGAATTCTTGGAGAAAGATTTCTATTTACTGGCCAATGAGGAAGAAGATCTCTTCAAGCTCTTGTAAAAACTTGAAGTGAGCTGATATGATGTTCAATAAAAGGACTGCTGTTTAGCAGATTGACAGAAGAAAGAAGGAACCATTGACAAAAAAAAAAACAATTAATGGTTGAGGAAGAAGGCATTAGCACCCATGCTTCAAGGGGACTGGTCCAGCTGAGGAGTTCATAAATAAGCATGGTGAGTGGGAAGAAAGAGCTGACAGAGTCAACAGATTCAAACCCCAGGACAGAACATTTCTTTTCCATGCTAAAATGAGAAGAATTTAAACTGAAAGAACTTTCAAGTTAACTTTCCAACAAAATACTTCAAAAGTCCCTCGAGATAACAACTTGTGAAAACATGACAAAAACCCTAACCCTGCTAAGATGTCCTTCTTATTGAGTATTCTGTTAAGAACGAAGATAGGTGCATTTTGTATTTTCTGCTTTGTGCAATTTTTTTGTTTGCTCTAAGTTTTTCCCTTTTTTCCATTTTTAAAGGTTGTAATCATTTTATCTTTGAATCTGTGTCCTTTTCAAAAAATTGTAACACATTTTTTTTGTACCTGATGGTAATCACTTTTTTTTCAGAAAATTGTTATCCTGCCATAATACATGCACAAAAGGAAATTTTTGTGCAACCTTGTATCTGTACATTATTTTTTAAATTTTATGCAGTGGTCATCTTGCCTTGTAATTTTTTACCTATTACAGTGACTGGCTGTTTCTACTAAGTTTTGGGGCTGGCATAAGAACTTGGATTTGGTAGGAAATAAAATTTTTATGTTTTATAATTTATTTAGAATATACAGTGGGGGGAAACAAATATTCATAGACATACAAATTTTTAATTTCTAACTAATGAATAAACATAATTTTCATGTAATTAACTGTACACAGATGCATAATAACTAAATATGCATAGAAAACAGAAAAAAAAATTGATTCAATAGAAATAAATTCCATTTATCATTTTTAATGGGGGAAAAAAGTATTCGTACAATACAAAAAAGAATGCATAATCTTCATACTTTGTAGAATAGCCATTATTCACTTCAACAACCAACTACTTCTTGTAGTTCTCAATTAATGATTTGCAAATTTTATTTGGTATTTTGTTCCATTCTTCTTTGCATATGGTCTTCAGATCTAGGATGTATGTTGGAGCTCTCATTTGGATTTGAATCTTCAAATAATGCCACAGATTCTCAATTGGGTTTAAATCTGGAAACTGATTTGGCCATTTCAGGATATTTTTATTACTTTTGCAAACCATTTCTTTATAGATTTTGTAGTGTGCTTGGGATCATTATCTTGTAGGAAGATCCAGTTGGTAGGAAGTTCAAGATTTTCAGCTAAAATCATTAAATTTGCTTCCAAATTATTTTCATATGCTGCAGCATTCATTCTACCATCTATTACTGATATGTTACCAGTACCTTTTGCAGAAAAACATCCCCAAACCATGATGTTGCCACCATCAACAAATTTCACTGTTGGAACTGTGTTCTTTTGATTGAAGACATCACCATCTTTCCTCTATACATGATTTCTAGAATTATGTCCAAACAACTCAATTTTGGCTTCCTCTGTCCATAATATGCTTTCCCAATATGATTTTTCCTTATCTTTATGTTCACGAATGAATTTCAACCTGGCATCTCTGTCTTCTCAATAGCAGTGGAGTTTTCCAAGGGGAACGTGACTAAATTGTTCCTATGAATTTCAGTGCTTATTGTCTATTTAGTGACACAGATTCCTGATGAAAGCAAATCATCCTGAAACTCTTGATGAGTAACCATTGGATTTTCTTTAATTTGACATATTAATTTCCTCAAAGATCTTGCAGAAATCTTCCTTGGAGCAGCTGTTATTCTTTGGTTTTCAACAGTTCTTAAAACCACATATGTATTAGCAGCAAAGTAACATTGTTGAACTGCTATGGAAACCCGTTTAGCAAATCTGTCACTAATACCGCTTAGCCAAGGAAAATGTAGGTACATGGGACATCTCTCTACTGAAGCAGGTTTCACTTTATATGTATACCTGTTTGAACTCTTTTTGTGTGAAAAAAACAATTTACTGGACAAAAATTTTAGAACTAGTCAGTGTGCCCATAGCTTCAGGTGTGTAGACATCTACATAACTCATTTCCAGGATTAAATTTCAGATTTTAAAATGGCTAAGGGTAAAATTTTAACAAAGTTCAAACAGGGAAGGATTGTTGAACTTCAAAGATGTGGCCTTTCGCAACGAGCCATTGCAAATGAAATTGCCTGTAGCAGAACTGTCATTGCTAACTTCATAAAAAATCTGGATGCGTATGCTTCTAAAAAATCAAGTGGTCGCCCCAATAAAATCTCACCATCTCTAGATAGACACATTAAGCAAGCAGTTAAGAGAAATTCAAGCCTAACATCAAATCAGATAAAAGTGAATACAGATGCTGAATGCAGCTCTCAAACAATTTGACGGCATTTAAATAATAAAGGGTTTAAGAACTTGAAACAGCTGCAGAGGCCTCACCTCTTGTTTACAATTTGCTTCCTATTATCAAACTTGGGATGTGGATAAATGGAAGAAAGTGTTGTTTTCAGATGAGAAAAAAATTCAGTCTTGATGGCGCAGACAGTTTTCAGCATTACTGGCATGCAAAAGATATCCCAAAATAAATTTTCTGAACACAACACAGTGGAGGTGGATCAATTGTGGTCCTGGGGTTAATTTTCGTACAATGGAACTTTCGAGTTACAGGAGGTCAAAGGTCATCAAACAGCTGCTAATTACACTGACATGTTAAGAAATGCATCGCTAATTACTGAAGGCCCTCATCTATGTGGAGAAAACTGGATTTTCCAGATTGAAACCCAATCGAGAATGTTTGGGGATGGATGGCAAAGGATGACATGGATCACAATTTAAAAATGTGGATGCTCTTCATGCTGCAGTTTATGCATCCTGGGTGAGCATCCCAAGCACCCTCATGCAGAAGTTAATAATGAGTATGCCAAAACAAATTTTCAAAGTAATTCACAAAAAATGGAGGATAAACTGAGAATTGTTGTTGTGACTTATTTGTTCTGTATTTGCTGTTTTTATTTACACGGTCTTATCTTTATGACCAACCAAAAAAATCCTTTTTTCAATGTTTGTTTAAATTAATCAAGCTTAATTAGCTTAAAATGTTCATTTGTTTGTTGATAAACTACATTTTCTAATTAAATGTAAATGTTTCACAAATATATTTTGATTAAAGTAACAGCATTTTATATTTTTTTAACCCTTTTGTATCTGGTCTAAAGATTTTGACTAGGAGTGTGTATATATATATATATATATAACACACACACATATATTTTGAACAATAAAAAAAATATTAAAAAATTAAAATCTTTAGACACACTAGGTTATAGATTAATATTCTTTTGTTTTTTATTATTTCATTTTAGATTCTCTAATATATATATATATATATATATATATATATATATATATATATATAAAACTAGCTTAAAAGCTGCCCTATTAGGTGGCATTTAAGCTAGGTCCTATAGAGGGCTCTTGCCCAACAGTGACACTTCATGCATTGAGTACATCTTAAATTTTATTAAACTTGAACAATATTTCGCAAACAATTATCAGTTTTCATCAAAACAATGATATAATTTGTCTATTTGGAACTTATTGCATGATAAACAACATTTTTGGTTCTCCCATTTGGGGTCAGTACAAATATCTTGTTTCCATTCTCAACCCTTGAACAACCAACATAGAACTGGCCATGAGAAAAGCAGGGTTCCATCAGATGAAGTCCAGTTACTTTCAATGATTGTCCTTGGACCTTATTAATTGACATTGCATTCTCACTGGAAACTGAAGTCTTTTAAACTCAAACAGAAGATCTGGAGGAATTAAGGGGATTCTTGGAATTAAAACTTTTTTCTCTTTTTCTGGACAAGTAAGGATCTCTGCTTTCAAGAGATGAGGAAGCATCTTCTTGACAATTAAACTTGTTCCATTACAAAGCTTTGGAAGATCCAAATTTCTCAATAGCATAATTGGCACATTTTCTTTTAGTCCCAGTTTGTGTGATGGCATTTCAAGAGGATTCAATGAAATCAAGATCTCTATTGGATAATTCACTGCCTACTCTTGTTCAACCACAGTGTCAATAGAAAAGTACTTCATGCTTTCTTTTGGAATTTCTTGAAGAAGTTTCCAGCTGATGCTATCCACAGTTTGATTCTTGGGAACTAATATGGTCCTCTCACAAACCCAGTTTGAATTTATGAAATGATGTTTAATGTTTGGATAAACATGGTTAATCAAGTCTTGGATACTTGAGACTGAAACTCCATAACCACTTGGGAGCAAAATATTTCCATTTTGGCTCATTTTGATGGCTCCACTGCCTAGCAGCAACTTGCAAATCTTCCTGCTTCAAGGTCACCTGTGATTCTAAATTTCATGTTCATTTTCAGGCTGAGTCTTTGAACATGGATCCAGATGTAAAAGTTTTTCAGGCAAGCATTGATTTCATCAACTGAACTTCCTCTTGCAAATGACTGGTAATATTTGTCTAAAATCTCCAGAGAGTAGCACAGTGATACCTCCCATGATTTGTGAATTCTGTCTAATGCCTTTGAGTGTTTTGTCCAGGACTTCAAATGCTTGCTTGTGTGCCATGGTACATTCATGCCAAACAGTGAAGCTTGTCTCCTCCAATAGCTCAGCCAATTTGGTTCTTCTTTTGATATTGAAAATAGGGGTTTCATTGGAGTTCAAATCCATTGGAAGTTTGAAGGTACTATGTGCTGTACACCCTCCAGGCAAGAGAATATCAGCAATTCTAGATGATGCTACTGCCAGAGCTACTTTTCTTTGGAGTCTCACTGCAGAAAAAACAAGATTAGTTACAAAAGTTTTACCAGTACCTCCAGGTAGAAAATCCCTCCATTGTTGTTGCTGATGTCATCAAGGACCTTCTGATACACTTGCTGTTGCTCTTGGTTCAACAGGGTCATATTGTTTTGAACATGATGCCGCAATTCTTCCATACTGTATCCTGTTTCTCTCAAAATTTCTCTCTTGATTTGTCTAGTTTCTCTGTTTGAATTTGGCAGACCAAAATTCCTGAAATCTCTTTGAGACAAGTTCATCATTTTGTCTTCAGTTTTCCAGAGAGCTAAATTTGCAATCTGAGGATTCAAATCCAATCCTGGATGAGCAAGTCTCATTTGAAGAAGATGAGATATTTAAAAGTCTGAGAGTTGTGTCCCTTTAATTGAAAAGTGTGACACACAGAGACATTTTCACATTTATTATATAAAGGATATATTGAAAATTATAGAGTTGTGTCCCTTTAATTGAAAAAGTGTCACACACCTTTATTATATAGATGTGTGTGTGTGTGTGTGTGTGTGTGTGTGTGTGTGTGTGTGTTTTGACAGGTATTTTAAGTGTATGGTTATTATTAATGCTGGTTCCTATCTCCACACTGTCTACATCTATAAATGCCCCAACTCCAATACTGAACAGCTCTTCCCCTGTAAGTCTAGCAAATTTTAGACAATATATATGACAAAGGGCAAATATTTTTTAATCTTGTAAGCCATTTGGACCATAGGACACCACAGCAACAGTAGTGTGTCTTGGACAAGATACCCAACCCTCTCCAGACTGAACAAAAACAGTCATGAACAAATATTGAAGATTTCAAAATTCTATAAAGTATGATAAGATTTGAACACTAAATAAAGACGCTTGTTACAGCTTTAAAAACAGATATTAAAAACAGATATTAAAAACAATGTAAGGAAGAGCAAGTGAAAATTATTTACCATTTGGAAAAAAATAAATAAATAACCAGCAATTATATTTTCTTGTACTTTAAAGCTCAATCAAGGAAATGCTTTCAGCTAAAGAGCAAGAAACAATAACTGGTTAGCTTCTTTTTTGTTTTTTAATAATATTTTTTGACTTACCATTTTATGATAAATATTTTTTTTCTTTGCTCCTCCTCCCCTTCTTTTAATGCAGAATGGGTGGAAAGAAACTTCCTATTGAAAATTACTTATAACTTTTGTTGATACCACCACATTTGCACAAAACAAATTATATTGTGATCCCTGGTAGAATTTCATTGCTAATTTCTGTTTTTATTTCAGAGTGACAATTGTAGTTCAGAGCGGCACAATGCCTGATACTGAATTAGCGTGCTCAGCTAGTATCCTTTTATTATGTGTGGCAGTCCATAATACAAATGCAGAGATGGTGGCACAGTGTTCATGGACCTTGGGCTTCAGCAGATACCAAATCCATCAGAAATTGTAATTCTAAGCTGACAATTATGGGATCTGTGGTAGATAACCACAGAAGTGATCATCCTTTAATATCCAGATTGGAATAAAATGTGCAAAAGGTAGAATTTTAATACTGTAGTGTAGTTTTACCATTTTATTGCTAAAAATTAAAAAAATGTATTAATAAAACCAACCAATAATTAATGAAGTTATTAACAATTTTAAATAGGGAGTTTCTGATTGTATATTTGTATGTATTATCTATTAATACAGGATTATTAAAAAAGAATGAACTGATTTCATTACCCAATATTTTAATAAGGAAAAGCAATAGAAAACTCCAGCCAAGTCACAAGTATTCTACTCACAATCAACTTATTTCTTGTCTTACAATTGTTCAATGTGGCCATTACCTGCAGCAGGGGCAACATCAATACGATAAGAGAATTCCTCCCAGACACATTATCAGCATGTCACGATCCAGAGAGTTGATCACTGTTATTATTCGATTTTTAAGGTCATCGAGTTAGTGGGTAGCAGTGGAACATAAATGCAATCTTTTACCTATCCCCACAAAAAAAAAAAAAAAAAAAAAAAAAAGAAAGAGCAAGGTAAGTGTTTGAACAAGGCATAGTCTAAGGTTTCAAATGTAGACATCATCTTAGTATATGCCAGATAGTGGATTGAGAGATCGCAAGCTTACAGCTAGCTCAATTTGTAGACTTCTGTGGACTCCCCTCAAACACAGCACAGATTCTCACCACTTGTTCCTTCAAAACTCATGGTTGTCCTGGGCTTTTTCCTTTACAGAGACACCCACTCTCTTGAAAATGTTTAATTCACCATTGAATGTTCTTAAGAGAGGGCAGATTAATGTTGAATTGCCTTTGAAAATCATACTGCACAATGACAACTGTATTTGTTTTTGCAAACTCAAGAATGCAGAATGCCTTTTGCTGAGGACTTGTTATTCTGGGAGTAAACAAATAACTGAACGCTGCCAGAGATATGACTCAACTACAGCATCCCTGTGCCAGTCATTCAAAACTTATCTTTCAAATGGGCACTGATTCATTCCATGATGATGTTTGAAAATTGAAGCAATGTGTCATGAAATCCGTTCGTTCTTTTTGAATAACCTTGTATATTCATTTTAATGTACTCCCCACAAATCATTTGTTTTGCATTTTAAACCATGACAAGATTTTTTTTTTATAAGAAGTAAAAAAAAAAAAAAAAAAAATACAGAGACAATAATAGAAGGAGACATGCCAATGCCAATAAAAGTTTTGATCATTCCTCTGTATGGCTGGTGTGTAGAAAGTTCCAACTTTGTTGCTTGTTCTCCTTGGATTTGAAGTCTGGTTTTAGTCAAGTCCAACGGATACGTAACTGTAAAAACAGCCATGAAAAATAAAATAAAATAAATAAAAGGAAGAACTTAATTTATTCTTTATTTTATGTTTTTAAATTCTCACTGAAATACAAGGGTAAATAAAAAAAATTATCCACACTTTCACCATAACATATCTTTACATAGGAGTGCAGATAATTTTTTACTTTACCTCAAAGTTATCATGTCTTAAATTAATATGAACAGGAAACTATAAATTTTAAAAATTATGAACAAAAATGTGAAAATATTAAAAGATTAATCTGTATGCAATTTTATTTGCTTACAGAAATTGTAAAGTTTATTTTCCAACACATACTTCATATTTGAATGAATTTGTCTGATTGGTAACCATTCAGTCTTTCATTATTCATATATATATATATATATATATATATATATACACACACACACACAGGGTGACCCAAAAAAACGGGAACTTTTTAACAATCCAGTAAAACCAAGAGTGATGGAAGAAAAATATTTTATTCATAGTAATTGAAACCTTAAAACATGCCATTTAAGAAACAATGATGGAATTTTCATTTTTTTAAAATTACGTCCTGTACATGGCGTCCTCCTGTACGAATTCTTGAAATCTGCTGTTGAGATTCCTCATTGACTGCTGCAACATCTCAGCTGGTATACTGTGAATTTCATCTTGAATTCTAAATGGCGAAATGTTTACTTGCTCAAGGTCACTGTCTCACAGTGTTGCCACTTGCTAATGTCTGGCAATAATGCACTTCAAAAATTCCTCTTTTTTTGGGTCACCCTGTATATATATTATAGGTCAAAAATTTTGGGCAAGCCTCTGGATTTAATAATTAGTAACTTTCAAGTCTTCTTTGTTTTAATAAACTACTACTAAGCTAGGATACTGAAATTATTTAACCTATCAGTGCATGATATCCAATTTTTTGAGTGTGGGCTACCTAAGAAAATCTTTCCACTCTAAGATTACCATTAGCCAAAGGGAGCTAAAATTTTAAAGAAAATTTAAGCAATAATGAGTTAATTGCTAAATATATGATAAAACACTTCAGGAAGAGCAAAATCTTGTCTGGTCAGACATGAGTTAGTAAATTAGTTTCAAAAATGTTACACAACCTTCAATATCCGAATATGGTCGATGCAAAATCTTTAGTGTAAATATAATATACAGAGTGCGATGGGTAAATTGTCGTCATTTTATATTTTTAATTTCATGCATGCATGTTGTTTGTTTTTGATTGTGTCAATTGCACGGTATAATCAGTTGGGCATTGTCTGTGAGAAAAAGAGCACCATTACACAATTCACTCTGCCAGAAATTTTTAAATGGCTTGCTGTACTGATTGGTATTCACACCCTAAGCCCCAATAAAAATATTACAGATTGCCTGGGTGTCAATCTAAGGACAGTGCAGAGGATTCAGAAAGAGTTGGATGAGTCTAATGGTGATTACGAAGGTACAGTAGCTCAGAAAACTCTTTATTTATGGCCACGATGCTTTTATTATCTGTGTGATCACTCTGATAATAAAAGAGCTCTCTAATTTATTGGTGAAGGCCTCAGATTCAACACGGAGGCCTACATCAAGTGCTTTGAGGAGGTAGTGCTACCCTGGGTCAAAAGGGTGGCTGCAGGAAGACTGTCTACTAACAAGACTGCACTATACCACACATGCAGGAGAATCCAGTCATGGCTATCAGACAATTTCTGCGACCACATCAACCCTTACATCTGGCCACCTAACTCCCCAGACTACAACTCCATTGATTATTATGTCTTGGGTGTAGTTCAGCACAAGACCAAAAAAATTCCTTGTAAGACCAAAGATGAACTGAAGGTAAGGATTATGGCAGCATTCACCAACTTAAACAAGGAGACCGTCCAGAAGAGTTGCAGGAGATTCTGAAGTTGTCTGGAGGTAATGGCGATTTTATTGAATAAATTTATTCTCTAATAATTCAAGATATTTTTGTGTAATTTTGGTAAATATATCTGTTAAAATGAGATGTCAGTGTTATTTTCATTTTTGTTTAATTTAGAGAACAATTTATTCATCACACCCAGTATATTAATAAATATTCATTTTATAAATATTATAATAACAGTTAATTAAATATATAAATATATATTATAATATTTTGAAAGATTTAATTGATTTTATTTTTTATCTGACACAAATAAAGTTTGAAGTAATAAAATATTATAATTTTAATTAAATATATTAATATTATATTTCATAAAACAATATATCTGCATATTCAAACAAAATGTGTGGTATTGTTGGAAACCAATTCTGATTACTCTTCAAATGCTACGGGTACCATGTAATCCAACACTACTTGCCGAATAGTCAGGTCATTGACAACCAAACATGTTCCCCCACCTGGCTTTTCTCATAAGGAGGGTGGTTAGACACCCAGCAAGATTTAAAAGACCTGTCAAAGAGATGATGAAACCTCTTGAATGGTCAATGATCATCTCGCACAATGGGGTACAAAAGTGGGTGATACGACCCCACTGGGGCAGTAGAAAGATCCAAGGGGATGGTGAGAAAAAAATTGGGCAGTTAGAGGATAGCAGTGTCACATATGAACCATCACACACACACACACACACACACTGTACCTGAAGTGTATCTTGCCTTCACTTCATTCTGTATCCCATTTATATAACAATTATTATGGGAAATAGACTAAGATACTTGTTTGACATGCAATACCAGCACAAAGAAAATCCAATCAAGGGTTGGCTATACATGAGGGTGGCATTAGATTTGTGCCTATACACTGAGGGTACATCAGTGTTGTATTTTGATACACAAGGGGGTGGCAACCATAAAAGTTTGATAATTACTGTTCCTAGACTGAAGTCAATGCCCTAGTTGTTGTGTTCTCATGATCAAAACAATAGCCACATGATTGTGACGACGAGGAGCCTCTAAGTTGAAGGATATCAGCTGTGTTTTGACCTGGAGAGGGATGGAATCTATCAGGTTTACTTATTCAAGACAGCTATGCATGAATGAATACCTCTCCAGCATTCAACTCAGTGGAAGGACTGGTCAGGTGCTCATCGGCAAAGCACCCCTATGACCACACCCAGTCATGGGACTGATAATGAAAATACACTAAGATATTGTTTCATTGCCTTCCACTTCCCAAATTGTGTAAGTAGCTTCAGCAGCTTGAAAGGTCAAAATAAATAAAGCCTCAAAATTACCAACATCTCAATACTTGCATTCACCATTGTGACATCTGAAACAAAAGGTACAGTTGAATGGTGTTGATAATGATAAAGGTGTTGATCAGTCATGCCTGACCCAACAGTCAACATCTTATGATGGCTTTGTTGAGGACGCAGCTGTTGTTTTTGCAGTAACATACTAAGGAAATGATAATGATGATGATGATAATAATAATAAAAGTATATTTAGGAAATAATAACAATAATAATAATAATAATAAAAGCATGCTAAGGAAATAATAATAAAAGCATGTTAAGCAAATAATAAAAGTATATTAAAGAAATAATAATAATAAAAGCATGTTAAGGAAATAATAATAATAATAATAAAAGTATATTAAGGAAATAATAATAATAATAATAAGATTAATAATAATAATAATAATAATAATAGGCCTTATTTAGGCCTATTATCCTTAACATGCTTATGTTAAGGAAATAATAAACCATGTTAAGGAAATAAGGCCTAATTATTGCAGCTCAGGACCAAAGCCTCACAACCAGAGCCTATCGCTGTCACATAATCAAGGATGAAACTAACTCGAAATGCAAAATCTGCAGAGAATATGATGAAACTATCAACCATATTATCTCAGTATGTCCAGTACTAGCAAAAAATAAATATACCCACAGACATAACAAGGTTATGTCCACTGGAAGATATGCAAGAAGCACAAAATCAAAACCAGTGAGAGATGGTATAAGCACCAACCAAACACAGTTACAAAAAATAACAATGTAACTATCCTCTGGGACATACCAATTCAAACTGAGAGGGAAATAAAAGCCAACAGACCTGATATTATCATAAAAGACAAGAAATTCAGCAAGTGTATGCTTATTGACATAGCAGTACCGTCTGAGAGAAACACCTCCATAAAAATTATCAAGAAATTGTCCAAATACAAGGACCTGGAGATCGAGATTAACAGGATGTGGGGAATGAAGATTGGGACTGTACGAATAGTAATCTGAGCTCTGGGCCTTGAGAGAAAAGGAATGGACTAAGAGTGTTCCAGGTAACATCAACATACAAGTTGCCCAGAAGATTACTCTACTAGGAACATCCCATATAGTAATGAAAGCGCTATCAATTAAATGACAATTCTCCTATAGGATCTAAGGACCATAGTTTGGATCTGGCTCTACAGGATACAAAGCAGGAAACATAACATACACAAATAATAATAATAACAATAATAAAAACCTTTTAAAGAAATAATAATAATGATGATGTCAAAAATATAGGAGTCATAGACAGTCTTTAGATGGGTTTTTAAAATATAAGATTTGGAGTAAATTTCTGTGTAAACAAGAATACTTTTTACATCAGTTCAGTTATGTGCCATGCGTGATACACACTTAGGTGATCATGTATCAAAAGATACATGACTGACGAGGCATTAGGTTGCCATTTCTTTCTGCAGTAGACCAGTTGCCATCCAAGGCTATAGAACCTGACCTGTTTATGGTATTGGCCCATAGCTGGGGGGAGAAGAAAAAGATTCATACCTTTCCCAAGGGTATTAGCACATAAGTGAATGTAATGGATTTGACTGGAATTCGAACTCGGCTCTCCAATTCCTCAATCCGAGCTGCTATCCATTACTCCACCATGCCTCCTCATACGATAAGCATAATTTTAACTCATGTTTCACAATTTTCTTAGTTCCCTTTGAAGGTCCTGATATTATTATTATTATTATTATTTAATGAGTGACTGATTGATTTGATTTTTACAGTTTATCAATGCTGTGCAAAAGAAATGCACTTAACTTAAAAAAAAAACTTAGGGTGTGCACCTGCTGATGTCATTGGCTCAATAATATAGAGAAAAAAAACAAGGGAAAATTCCATCATTTATAACAGTAAACGATTAATGGAATAGCCCAGATGTGCTACCCATGGGTCTGATGGAAAAATCTGGATATACCGAATACAGATTGGTGTACCCTACCTACGAATGCATATAAAGTTAGTGGCAGTAAACAAGAGAGAGAGAAGCCGACGAGGTAGAAGATTAGATTTGCACATACTTGAACTTGCAGCACTGTATCTGTGAGAGTTCACAATAAACCTTTTGAGGGTTGTTTAAAAGTCAAACATATTTTGGATGGTAGAAGTTGTTTACAATACATGGTGTTCCCAAACTGTCCACAATCTAAGTACAAACCAGGCTCAGTGCTGCTTAACTTTGGTGATCGAATGAGAACCATCATTTTCAGCATGATTTGACTGTAGGCTTACTGAGAAAACAGCATGTCAACAAAGTGAACAAATATACAAAGCCCAGTAAACCCATGATACCAGGGATATGTATCACAGCTAAACGTGCAATATTGTGAAAAGTTTTGATAAATGCATGATATAACATTGCAGGTGGGGCCCCAGTGAGAAATACAGATAACCCAGTCCATAAAATTGTTTGAATCCACTTTGGCAGTCTCCGATCAAGTGTATCTGCAAGTAACTCGATGTGACTCCTTCAAACTTTAAAAACAAAAAATAAAATCTCTCAACACATGGCCACGATGCTTTCCCATCACTCCTGCTCATGTACAGTGATGCAAAGTGTGTCAGTTCCTAGGAGACATATCAAACTGGTTAGGGTCAGCCAACTGACAAGCAAATCTGTTGTACTGAACAGGATATTTACTGTAACCCCTCTTAATTTGCCAAGACAAAACATGTCCATGTTAACTGCTCCACTCATTAAAGATCAGAAGCCATGAACGCCAGGAAATTAGAAGCACCAATAGTCTGAGATTGTCTCCAATGGCTGGCTGATGATGGTCATACATCATCTCCTACCAGTTTTGAGAGACAGTATAGGAAATGTTTGAAGCAGTGCTGCTACCTACACACTTCCATTAATAGCAGGTATCCCCCAAAACATCTTGCAATTGTAAAAGATTCTTGGAAATAATCCAGATTCCACCTACCACAAAAGGGACAACTTTCTTCTTATCATTATTATTATTAATATTATTATTACTTCAACCATGGTTGGTTTGTGTTGTCAGCAAATATTTATTTGGCATTTTTCATTAAAAAGTGCATCAAAGATTAAGAGAAAAGTTTTGTTTTCTATTATTTTTTTAATCATTTCATCCCAAGTAAGGCAATAAGGCCACTAAGACACAAGGGGGTTATTGAGTGTTAGAGGATATGAAAAAGAACTAAAAACACTATTAAGGAGAGAGAACAATAAAAGAACAAGAATTAAGAAGACAGTAGATAACAATTGACATTGCATTTAAATATTTGAAGATCAATGTTGACAGGGAAGCAAGAAGCCAAAAAGAGTTCCGCAAGCCAGAAGTGCAATAGAGGAAACTTAACATAGAACTTGTGGTTACATCTAACCATTTTGAATGTATTGTGAAGAGACCTTTCACCAATCTAGTACTGCACTTAAATTAATAAAGTTTAGGTACCATAGAGGAAAGTTCATTATAACAATTAAAACAATAAACTTTGAAAATCATCAGTTTTAATTTTTAATTAACTTTTAATTGATTTTACAGAAAACAGTCTTACAGTGACTGCTGCTGATATAATTTTTCCGAATTAGTCTGTAATAGTAATTCTGATTGGTTCAATAAGGTCAAATTGGCAGCTGATCTCAAAAGTGACCTAAAATCTGCTGTTAAGAGGGGCAAGGAATAGCATGTTAATTTTAACACCTCCAATACAAAACTGCTTTTGTATTAACCATCTGAGAGACTCCTTTATGCCTTCCATCAGTATGGCTGATGCTAACCTCCAAGACTGATATTTCAGTCTTGGACTTTGTGCCTCGTTGTGCCTTCTCAGCCTAATATTCGCGGCTGACATGAAGTGGAAAGATTATATTGAATCAATTACTAGGTCTGCTACTTGAAAAGATGGTTCTCTATGTTGAGCTAGACAATTTTTCTCTCTAGAATCTATCTTACATATTTATAAGTATCATTCATCTATGCTTTGAACATTGCTGCCACATCTCATCCAGTGCTCCTGCTATATATTTAGAGATTCTTAATAAAATCCAAAGAATAATCTGCAATATTATTGGTCCTGACCAGGCACTTTTTCACTGCTGTAATATAGCATTCCCTGTGCCTTTGCTATAAATACTTTCATGGTATTAATCTATGGTTAAATAAACAATTTAGATGTAGAAAACCCAAATAACTTTCCAAAAGCCAAAAGAGTTTTGATTGTGGTGAGGTCCAATGTACCTGAACAACAAATATGGGCTATGCTTGCAGAGACAAACTATGTTTTTGGGATGCTTCTTTCTATGGCCTGTTTTGTCAATGATGGCGTCAAACAATTAAAGCAATATTGTTCAGGGAGGCTCCCACTTTTTGTTGACCCCCTTCCTGTATAAAGCTTTAAAATTAACATTCCCCCTGGGATATTGGTGGCCTGTCTTCTGATGGTACCATTAAGACTGAGATAGGAACAGGTTCAATGGGAGAGGCTGTTGGTGTCCTCACCCTGGCCATGTTCAATGTAGAACAACTCTAATCAGTCTGATAATGGCACTCTGGTTAGCTAGCTTGAATGCCTGGGGCCTGAGGTCAGAGTCTCATAGGCAAGGCTCTTTCATAACCTTCTGCATCTTGGGGCGAATGTATGTTGTGTGCAGTAGACCCCGTTTTCTACTTGTGATTAAGAAGGCATTCTATGTAGGAGGTTTTCCCACAATTTATCATGTTTTGATGGACGCTCATGATGGTGTCTCCTGGCTGGTGAGCAAGTCTTTGAAGGTGATGTGTGTTCTTGTCTTCGCAGACTATCAGGTAGACTTTGTGTGCTGGATATTACCATAAAGGATAAAGCACTTCATCACACTGGGGTTTATGCACCCAATTATCATTCTGATCAGCCTGATTTGTTTTGGTGGATTGAGCTGTTTTTTATGACATCTCGTCAGTTAGTTTTAATTTAGCTTGACCCCTTTATAGATTGTATAGGGTCAAATTTGGGTACCAACAACTAGGACGTGAAGCCATTTTGGGACTTTATCGATAAGTTTGATTTTGTCGATAAGTATTGTAATGAACCCACTCAAGAGGTAGTATTGACTTGGATGAATAGAGGTGGCTTGGCTACAGAGATGCATTTTAGCTACCTCAAGTGTGTCCTAGTTAGGAGAGTCAATGTAGAGCTCTTAGGGTGTCCAAGTTTCCATTATATAGTTTACTTGGATCATAGGCTTGTCTGGGTTTGTGTAAACTTAGATTAGCCTAAGAATAAGATGGCTGACTACTAGAAGTTGAACTTTTCATTATTTGGTGAACAAGATTTCCCAGACGAGCTGCTACTAATGCTACAGCAGGAACTGATGGGGGCTGTGGTTGGAAATATGTGGTGGGATAACTTAAAATAGAAAATTAAGTCATTTGCTGTTGAATACAGTTGTCGACTCAATCGAGATAGGTTAGAGGCACAAATGACATGTGAACAAAAAGTTGATTGTGGGGATGTGGCTTTAGTTAAGGCAGTGTTGACTTGCTTATCAAGAAGGATCAAGATTAAAAAAAATGTCTTCCAAGGCAATGAATATGGCCGCTGAATTGCATGCAGAAGTAGTTAGGAATGCATCTCAGTGACAAATTGCGTGTGTCACATTGCCTGATAATTGGACCGTGACTACAAACATGGGCATATGTGAGGCTTTTTGTGACTACTTTCAGGATCTGCTCACCAGGTATCCCAGGTTCAGCTCTGCTCTTTTCGATGCTTATTTAGCTGACTTTCCCTGTCTCAAGGCAGCTGAAGCGACTGGGTGCAAGGGCCCCATCACAGAGGTGGAAATCTGTGAAAGCACTGAAGCATTTTGCTTGGGACAAATCTCCAGGATTAGATGGTTTACCTTACAAACTGTACTTGAGGCAGTCACCCATTTTTGTTCCTTTGCTGGCACTTATTTTCAACAACTGGTTGGTAGCAGGGGTCTTCAACGCTTCACCAGGGGTACGATCAAGATGCTATGCAAGGACAAGAATGGTGGGGATGGGATAGGTAACTTTTGGCCTTTAACAATGTTAATTACAGAGTTAAAGATTTTAGCCAAAATCTTAGAAAAGCGTTTTCAGGCTGTATTCTCTAGTCTGATTGGCTTTGAACAGACTTGTGCTGTGAAGGATAGGACTATTCAGTACAACCTTCATATGGTACACTTGATCATCAAGCAAGTTGACAGTGAAGCCATGCTGATCAATTTAGATCAGTCCAAGGCATTCAATAGGGTGGACCATCGATTTTTGGAGGCTGTCCTTTCAGCGGCCAGCTTCAGGCCATACTTTCACACATGTATACGACTTCTCTATGCAACTCCCGGCAAGCTGATGGAAGTGAATAGAGTTCGATCAAAGCCTTTTGTAGTGTCTTGCTCCATTCATCAAGGTTGTATACTTTCACCTTTGCTTTAGTTCTTGCTGTGGAACCTTTCCATTGCAAGTTAAGGATGAATCCAGTCCTATACAGAATTTCCCTACCTGGTGCTACCAACGTGGACAGGTATTCTGCCTATGCTGATGACATTTTGGTTCTTGTTTTGAGCAGAGCTGAGATTAACAAAGTCAGCAAAGAAATCAGAGGGTTCGAGATGGCGACAGGTGCCAAGATCAACCGCGATAAATCCGTTGGCTTGCAGTTTAGTTCATGGAATGGAGTTTCTTTTCCTGGAACTTGCCTGTGGACAGAGGGGACAGCCAAGATACTTGGCACCTAGCTGGAAATGAATTTATTGGAGGTGCAAGAGAAAGCCATGGTTGCAGTTTGTCTATGGTCCCAGAGAAATCTTTCATTAAAGGGGAGGACAAAAGTATGTGCCTTGCACATCTACCCAATTCTCCTTTACTGACTCTCTGTACTTACACTTCCATATACCACACTAATGTCATTAATAAGTTACTTCTACCCTTCTGAAGACAGTCTGGGTATGCCTAGCATTGAGATTCGTCAACATGTTTCACATTGCGTGCCTAGATCGAATGTGTCATGATTCAGAAAGAAGATGCCTGCAAAAACTTTCCATCCCTGAGAAGTGTGCACTTGTGCACAGAGGAGACCCCTGTTTACCCCGAGGTGAGTGCTCTTTTTATCGTGAATATCGTATTGCTCTGAAACACCTCTTACGGGTGTTAGATGGTCTCTCCAATGTCCAGGCATTGTCTCAAATTGCATTATATCATGTGTTATTTAGGGGGTCCATACAAGATGATCTGATGGACGAGCTCAATCTTATGAAGCAGGAGGCTCACTCAATATGGCCTTGGGTGCCTGGGTTAAAAAGTCTCAATAATGATGAGGCATCACTCACCTGGTTGGTGATTTGTAAGGCCCTCTGGGTCAGCAAAAGAATTTATTCGGTGAGCTTGGAGAAATCTCAAAACAGTGTTCGCTGTGATGGGGAGGTGGAGACCCTGGGTGACACCTTCTTTCATTGCAGGCTTATAGTCTCATTGTACAAATTTATTGAAGGCATCATTGTTTGCATGCTGCACTGAGAGGTTTTTGTCCTTGAGGCCAGTTCTGTCTCTAGTAATGTCGTATCGTCAATGACAAAAGGCTGAACATTATGTGTTCTTTTGCTTGCTGGATGTTATGAAAGTTGCAATTTGGATGAAACGTCAGAAGGAGTTATGGGGGGGGGGGCAGAAGTTCTCTGCCCTTGTGTCTTAGTGGCTTTATTGCCTTGCTTGGGGAGAAATGATTTAAAAAAAAAAAAAGAAAAATTATTACTACTTTCTTTAGCTTTATTCTTTGCATAAGCTATCAATTATGAGATTGAGAGTGTCATCTTGACTTCACATGAAATGGCTTTAAAAAAAAATTTAAACTAGAAAATGAAAAAAAGTATCTACAAGTACAAAATTAGAACATTCTTATGAGAAAAAGGTTAAGAGAGTGCACTTCCGCCGTTAATGGAAAAAGAGACTGATGCTAAATAATAAAAGAGAATAATTTAAAAAATATTGACAATTTTTAAAGATTTTAAATGAATTTTCAATTATTACATTTGTAAAACAAACAATTTTTTCAACTCTTTTGCTAAGATAGGTTTTTCTTTTCTTAATAATAAAAGTAGGTTTAACAATGATAACATTCATTATTAGGTTAATTTAATTAACTTATGTTCATTTTTTACGGAAATTTAAAAAATTATAATCGTAAAGTAAAATTCATAAATTTAAAACTAGTTTCACAGATAAAACTCGAAAGCAGGCTTTTTTTTTTTTTTTTTTTTTTTTTTTACATGTCAGAACTTTTTTTAGGACTCAAGTATTCTGTCTTACTCTTCTTATTGATTATTACATAATCAAATAGTGTGCCCCATTTTTATCCACATGACTACGGATCTTTTGTGAGAAGCACGTGAGACAGGCTCACACTAATTCTGGACTGAGAATTAAAGCCTTTTTTGTTTGATTAAACTGAAATAAATTCCTTTTTATTTCTATGTTTTACAGTTTACTTAACTTCATACTCACCGCCAGGTTGGTGAGGTTCGTTACAACAAATTGGCAAAATTAAACTACTACAAGACAAGAGTGCACTTTAAAGAAAAAAAATGTAATTCTGTTTTTATTTTTATTTAAATGATTCTTTTCAAATTTAAAAATCTGAGAATTCCGATGAAAATTACTTTTCTTTTTTTAGATGGGTGGGATTGTGACTTGCAAGAGTTTATTTTCTTAAATTATTGTAGAAACAAACCAACTAAAAAATAATAAACAACGTAAAACGTAAATTAAATTATTTTTTAACTTGAAATTGAAAAAGGTAATTTTTTTTCTATTTTTTGTCTGCTCTCTAAATTTAAATCATCAATCTGTTTGGTTAGAGAATAATCAGACTAGTAATTAAAAAAGAAAAAAAAAGTTCCTGGAGAGAGAAAAAAAAAAAAAAAAAAACAAAGCCATGCTTTCAGAGACAAAAAAGAAAAAAAAACCCTAACGAACACGTTGGGAAGATAATGTAATTGTAAACAAGCCAGGGAGCATTCAGAATTTTTTTTTTTTTTTTTTTTTTATATACACAATAAAATGGTTAGCCTATTAAATAAGCAAAAAAAAAAAAACTATACAAACCTGTTTCGGCCACGACAGCCGCGGTTGAGGATAACAAATATTTAAAGAAAAACGAATTTCTTCGACTATGAACTCCATGGTTAGACACCATAACCCACACTTAATTTCTCTAGATTTTAAGTAGAAAGTGACAATCACTCAGGGACCGTATCGTAATTGGGAAGACAAAATAGAAGTGGTAACGGCAGAGTTTATTTTAACGCACTAGTTAATTTATAGTCACAAGTATTACTTCTCGAGTACTTTTTCCTACTACCGCTTTTTACACTGTAGTGTAAAAACAGTAAGTTGTGTAAATGTTTCTTAGTTAAAAGTTACAACACAACGTTGTATTATTTTGTTGTTTTTTAGGTTAAAAAAAAACCTGTCGTATCGATCGGCCGTATGCTTGTGAAAGTAAAAAAAAAAACAGAAGGTTATCAAAAATATTGACATAATGATAAGCGAAGTTTTTCGTAAGAAGAACTAAGAACAAATCCACGTGCTTATTGGCTGGGCAAAATTTTTAAGAGCGAAAAATAATGCTTTTCATTTGTAAAAAAAAATAAAATAATGTTGCATTTGTGACAAAAAATTATTTCGTTTGGAAATAAGACACCAATCAACTGACAATCACTCATAAATTACTTTTTTTTAGTTTTTGAAGTGGCATTATCTGCTAAAAATACAAAAAGCTAGATCTGACCAAAAATAAAAAGCATAGTATTTTTTTTTCTATTTTTTAGTCAGTCAACAATTCTTAAAAAACTTAAAATTAACTGTGATAAATTTTTAGCACACACAACAAAAAACTTCTCTCACTTGATGAAATTTAGGTCTGCGATAGAATTAGTAGTATGAGGGTTTCAAACGGCCTTATTGTTCTTTTTTTTTTTTTTTTTTTTTTTTGTTATGTATTGTTTTCGGTGTTCTTTCTGGTTTTCTTAAGAAAAAAAATTAATTTTGAAAAATCGAATTAAAAGTGAAATATTAAAAATTAATTTATAAGTTTGAAAAATTGAATAAAAATAGCTTTCATTTCATTTTATTTTCAGTAAACAAATAAAACCGCTTGTAATTTGCACGAATATTATCCAGTAAAAAAACATCAACAAACACAAAAACTTTGTAATTGTTTGATAGTCTAAGTAGTCAGAATTATTTACTTAACCAATCACGAAAATTTGACTGGCCACTTGCTTAATAAGAAAAAAGCTGTGTGTGGTGTTCAATCACCAGTTGGTATTAGAGGAAATAAATCCTATTTCCAACACAATTACATAGCCACATTAAAACACGCCTAAACTTTATTTTCTACCCAATAACAGACAATAAATTACAAACATCCCCCCCAAAATTCCACAATTCGCCGTTTAAATCAAAGTGTGTATTGGTTAAAAATTAATGTGAATTGACTAATTAAAACCCTATTTTTCTTGAGCTTACTTTCGGGGAAAATTTCTTATAAAACCTCCGTAGATTTCGACTTTCAGGGAGCAGAGATGCCACTGGGTCTAAGCCAAAGTGAAGACGTGTCTAGATAGTTTTTCCTTCTACCCCACAGCGCGTGCTGAAAGAAATGTGTCGGCAACTTCAAACGAAGCACCTCCAAAAACAACCAAGACGGTCAGTGAATTTTCACAAACGATAAAATTCTTTTCTCAACGGCAGTTTTTTTTTTTTTTGTTTGTTTGTTTTTTTTTTTGGGGGGGGGTTTCTTCTGTGGACCCACTATCTAAAAGTCTTTTCTAAACTATATTTTTTTCTTTGTACTAACTACCCAAAGACTTTAACTCAGCTGAAGACTATTTTTACTCCTTTTTGACTTATTTGAATTAATGTTTTTAAATACAAATGATTTATTTAACAAGCATGCCCACGTTTTCCTTATTTTTATTTTATTACTGTTTAGCATTCGGAGGTTCGAATTTTTAAGATGAAAAATCTGGATAACTGAATTTCCTACACTATCATCATGAATATGACCGATTATCGTTGTGAGTTGATAGCTGGAGATGTATTCATTCATGCGTAGCGTGTCTTAAGCAAGTAAACCTGGCGGAATCTATTACTCTCCAGGTCAAACGACAACTGACCTCCTCCAAAATGAAGACTCGCCTTGGTCAGAGACGCGTGGTCGTTAATTTCATCAGGAGCATCCTTTGCTTTGGCCTTTTGACTTTTATAGGAATCCCTCCGTCCAGTGATGCCATGACATCACTTCACTGGCTGCATCCATAGCTATGGAACACAGTCTACCCTCTAGATGGTCGTTGACCCTACAAAAAAATGGTGTGTTGAAAGATATTTGATTTTTTACCAACCAATGTGATCCACATTTTAACCCTTTGTGTGGAAGACGCCGACCCAGAGAAACTGACAGGAACTGCTAACAAGATTTGTGAAAAAGTATGCACACAAAAAGTTAACGCAATCTAAAATTTGCCTAACTCACAAATGGACCAAATCCAGCAATTCCAGACTGCTCACAGAATGAGTGGAAGCCAATTAGTGAGATCTAGATAACATGTCTCACGTTATCACGGGCGAGATTCCAGTCGGAATAGAAGCAGCAGCCGACACAACTAAAAACTCGTACATACAACATGGAAATATATTGGCACCACCATAAATTTGGTACTAACTCTAAAAATGCACAAAAGCATGTGCATTTGTACCACTGAACCAGGGAAACGCCTATTCCAACCAGTGATGATGACCTCTGCGTCTGGATATTCGAAAAAAAAGTCGTCTATTTTACATTCGTGTCTTGGATATGAATTTTACTCATAGCAGGTGCCGAACATTTTTCGTAGATTTTCATGCAAGCAGACGTGAAAACATCAATACTAGGAGCAGACTCCCTCGCACACTTCACCCTGTCAAGGAACATGGCTATCGAAACACTGATAGACAACGAAACTCAACTAAAAATCCGAGGAACTCTTCGATATTTTTCAACAGGTATCCGTTCAGGACTACCGAACGACAAGACTTTTCGTGAAATTCTTCATAAATTCCCAGGTATTACAACTCCATTCAAGCATACAGATCCAGTATTACACATTACTAAACTAAACATCACATTCAAGCGGCAGGGTAACCGACTCATTCTACCTTGCGGAGACTCAACCCGGTAAAATACAAAATTGCAAAGGATGAATTTCATCACATGCTACAATTAGGAATGCTTTGACCTTCCAAGAAGCAGTGGTAATCACCGTTGCACATGGCAACGAAAGCAGATTCTTCTGCCTGGCGCCCATGTGGGAATTTTTTTCACGATTAAATGCTTCAACAGTTCGAGATTGCTACTCTATCCGAGATAGGGTAGCAATGGGATAACCTATCCCCCATATACACGATTTCGATGTGGGATTACAGTGTATGCGAATTTTCAGCAGACTGATTTAATCAAGGTGTACTACTGAATCCCTGTCGAAAGAAGCGATATACCCAAGACCGCTATCACCAGTCCTTTCGGATTACTCGAATTCACCAGGATACCGTTTGGTTTAAAAAATACAGCTCAGCCTTTTCAAAAGTTGATAGACGAAGTGTTTAGAGATTTTTATTCTTCACGTTTGCATACATCAAGATTATGAATGAACACCGGGAACATCAGTTTGTTTTTGAACATGTGCAGCATTTTAGGTTAAAATTTAACGTCAACAAATACACATTTTTAGGACACGAATTCGATGAAACAAGAATATCCCCTCTCCCTGAGAAGATAGCTGCTATAGAAAATTTCCCACAACCAGAATCGAATCGATAACTTTGAAGGTTTATTGACATGATAAATTACTATCGAAGATTTTTGCCACATTGTTAATCCTTATTAACCCCCATTGACAGCGTTGCAGAAACGAAGAATGAGTAACCTAGAAGTCAGAACTTGTCGCTATTGTTGTTTCTGCTGAAGAGGTTAATTTCTTCTTCACCCCAACAAACGTAAATTCGAGGAAACAAGGGAATACGTCGTATTTCGGGTAAATAAATGTATTATTTATTTACATATATATACCAAGCCAGCATACTACTCGTTGCTGCTGTAAAAGGTGACAGAGTCGGGAAGGAAGAAAGAAAGAGAAAGAATATTGGTCATGGCTGTCGGTTAATGTTTTGTGAAGACGGCGGCGGCGAAGGATGAAAGTTGAAATGTATCGGGTTTCAGTTTCAGTCTGCCTGCGGCGTTCTTGACCAACCTCTGTGTGTCGACATCTCAGCCGGGTTTCTCTCCCTCTCTCTGTGTCCTCTGCGGCGTTGAATCAAGGAATTTATATTCGTCGTATCGGCTCCAAATCACAGTCTGTGTCTTTTAGCGGGAGTTATTGCTACTGGTCAGTATATAAAGTTCATTTTATCATTTAATACCGAAAACAAGCGTCGAGCCATGATGCGCAGAGACGCGTTTTCGTATTCTGCCTTGGGTCGTCGAGCAGTCAACATCCGGTTTAGTGTAAGAAACGCGACAGCATACTCGGAAAAAGAATGGAAAAGTTTTATTTCAAGTTCCTGCTTTAGACGTTTTTCACGAAGCAAAGACAAAGCTTCATAAAACAAAATTATCTCAGTGATGGTGAGAACGCGGTAGTAACTTTAATAACAGATGCTTCGTCGAACGCTGTTGGTTCCGTCCTACAACAAAATATTGACGAAGAAAATAAACCCATTTCTTTTTTCTCTCTCGAGCTAAATTCTTCACTGATGAAATACAGCACATTTTCGAGATAACTTCTCGCCATCTACTTATCTATCCAACATTTCAGTTATGTTCTAGAAGGACGGTATTCATAGACCATAAGTTATTCACATGCTCTACATCTGATGAAGCCTGGAGGTCACGACAGCCGAAACGTTGTGAGTATGTCGATCTGGATAAGCCACAGGGAACAGAGATTGCAATCTGTTCTATCACTATTTTTTAATGGTAAATCGAATTTTATTTATGTTTCCTATTTAATCAAATTTAAAACAAGTTTTTTTTTTGCGCATTTATTACAAATTTATGGAATTCTCTTGAAGGTAAAGGGTATATAAAAGACGCAGAAGAATATTTGCGGAGAGAGTGTGTCTTATCACTCATCATCATCATCAGAGAGAGAGAGA